ATCATGAGGCCCATGGCGAAGCCCGCGATTGCCTGACGGATTCTCGCCTATCGAATCTTTGCAATCAATTGCAAACAACCCTAGTCAAAATCTCTGATCTTGAATTGTTTGACGATTATAGCAGGCTAACTGCTTTATTTGATTATCTGACAGAAGAGCTCAAATTAAGAGATCAACTCCAACAAGAACTCTCTGTGGAGAAAGAGGCTCTTCTTGAACAATGCGAGGATCTTAGAAAAAAGTTTCACTCACTTCAAGTTGAACATTGCACGATCAAATCAGAGAATGAACATCTTTTACATAAACTTACTGAAGGGTATCAAGAAGGCAAGCTACCTCCAACGCCTGAGTGTGTTCTTAGAGTAAATTTGAAAACCCGCACAACTGAAAAGGCAACCGAAATTAATGGAGAAGATGTCTTAACTACTGAGGTTGCTCCTTTGAAGCCTTCGATCAATGAGCTGCCTGCTGAACGGGATCAGGCAGGTGAAAGGCTTCAGATGCTTGAATCCAACAGCGGTCACCTAGATAGTGTCAACATAAGCGGACTTTATGTCTTAACCTCGTCGATACAAAATGCAATTTCAAGGCTATCTAACAATAAAGTGACCTCGGAATTCGATGAACTGTCAAACTTAGTCAATCGATTGATGGGCGAACTTGAATCAAAATCTTGTCATTTGGATGAAATTGTTGCGAAGAGTCCGGACTTTGCACGGGCTAACGAAAGGCCAGATAATCTGGTAGATTTGACACTTTCTGAGCAAGAGTACAAAGATTATAAAATAACCCATAAATTACAGAATCTCAAGGGTAAAAGCGATGAATTTTTCTTGCCCATAAAGTCCAATTCTGAACCACAGATAGAGACAAAATCGAAAAAGACTTGCATGACCAGTGTTCCTTACATGGTCGATGCTCTGCTGGACGGGACAGTGGTCGACCAAGCTACGAAGTGTGAGCTGCGCACGAGAAAGGATCAAGCAGTGGGAACGAATGATCAACTTCAATTATCATGTGAAATAGAGCGCGTGGTTGGCACTTCAAATTCTTCTCTGCGATCGCAGCTTCAAACAGCTCTTACAGACGTTTCCGGATCGTTCTGCCCCGATGACTTTATTCGGCTGTCCTCATTTCTTGAGTTATGTCTACAGACCTTCGATTGCGAGTCCTCTAGGCTCATTCAGCTCACTCAAGAGCTTGAGCATCAAATGGCTACTTTACGAAAGAACAACGAACAGATTCAGGCAAATAACGATTCTCTCGTTCTTGCCATCTCGGATAAAGAACACGACCTTCAACTGGCCCGACAGGAATCTAGTTCATTGCAAGAATACATCAAGGCGAGCTTTGAAAAGGTCACATACGCCCTTCGGCAGGCCCAGCATGGCACTCGGAATTTGCATATTTTGGGTGACCAATGTTGCCAACCGCTTACCGACTTTCAGAATGTTATCGCCTTCTGGAACCAGGCCATCCGTAACGTGGATGTGAAGCAGGCTCATACAAGTGATCAAGACTCGGTCATTTTGCTCGAAATCCAGTCTTTCATGAATCATTTATGCCGCCTTGAGCTGGCTACTGAGTTTCATCGGCTGTTAACCCAGTTCCGCTGCATGCATGACGCCCTGCGTGTTTTAGAACTTCGTCGTGGAGACTTCGAGGCCGAACTTCCCAGCCATCTACCCATCTTTCACGAGATAGCTAACCACTTTGCTCTTCTCCTTTCTCAGATGCCTCCGCTTGACTCTTACATCTCCTGTCTCTTCGTGACAAGCCCTACCACGTCTCCACAACCGCACGGCACTGCAACTTCCCTAGCTACCATTGATACTTCTAATCTTGCTCATTCGTTACCTCCTAGCCTTTGTCTCAAGTCACTCTCCCTACAGCAGCCGCCATTCATTGATATCTCAAGTTCTATTGCGACTGGATTTAGGCCTCTCGAGTCCTCTTCTGCTAACTTAGATTCATTGAAACCACCAGGTTTGTTTGCTGCTGATCCAAGTCTTAGATCTGGTATTTGTACAAGCCCACAGACAACATCGAGTCGGACAGATCGGAGCAACCTCGGTCCAAGACCTGAAGACGAGATGGGCGAGTCAACACCACCACCGATTATGCAACAGCCTCACTCTGGTGACACCAGTCTATCGGATGTACCTGGTGTCCGGCGCGATAATCAATCTTTCTTCGAAACACTGGCCAATTTGCATTCTACTGGCCAATATAGCTACGATAGTGGTCAGGAAAAAGTAAGCCGAACGCTACTTCTAGAAGAAGCTGTTCTTGACGCAAAGCGTTTGTCACGTACTCGCCTTTTGACGCTTCTTCAACTGGTCAAAAACTCAATCGTTTCTGCTGCTAGAGCCTCCGAATCTTCTTCGGGGGCTACATTTGTACGGGATCATGAACTTGATGAGCAAAGGATAACGAATAATGATTTGCTGAGATATAATGTTTCTAGGCGATCGCAGCAGTACTCGTATAAATTCACCAGCCTGACAAGGTTTAAGTCTGCTCAAAGTCTGTCCAAATTAATTTCGCCCAAAACCTCTATACTTGCACCATGTACCCAGACGAATGCCCAGCTGTCGAGGACATTGCGCCAGATTCACCAAATATTGCTTGTATGGCTTCAAGCTCAGCAACAATTCATCTCAGCCTCTATAGGCCAACAGACCAAAGCCTCTGATCATTTGTCTCAATACTTTATTGATTTGACTTCTCTGCTACACCACTTCAATGAAATAAACTCCCAGCTCAACCTCTTAATGAGAAAACTAACCTGCACCTATTCGACCCAGGCCGGCTCGTCTGATCATTCAGTATATCAAGCTAGCACGACCCTGGCTTATCCTACCTACTCTTGCTCAGATGTATCCCGGACCATCTCACTGCTCTCATCGGGGGTAATTCATGCTCCTGCTTGTTCCTATCACCATCCTGCCTTACCTTTATATCGAATGAGCTTCCTGTCGCTGCCTGATCTGACTAGTCTTGAAGACTGTTTGCCGACTTCTGCCCCGCCATTCTCGGATGGTGTATTGCTCAGCTCCTCACAGCCGCCCGGCTGGCTTGATTCCAATTATCCCAGCTATTTGTCTGCTAAAATCTCAGGCCAGACAAACTCTCTACAGACTACACACAAGTCAGAGTTGGTATATGCCACAACTTCCTTCAATTCTCAAAGTAGTGTAGATACCGTCTACATTCCTATACAGGTATTGTCACGTATCGTCAATCGACTCTCTCGACACTTCAACTTTGATGGTGATCGACTCATTAGGTTGGTATCATCAGCAGATCTGGTAGGAGGCGACTTTGCAAGTGTGCTTGATGAGATCTTCGGTCATCTGTCGAATAGAACTAGTGCTGGCTATGACGAAGAGCAAACAATGACATCAAGTCTGATTAGCCCTCAATTCTCCATCTCATTCAAGTCAACTTGCGAACTAGTGAAACATGCTGATTTGTGGATAGCCTTACTTCGTAGCTATCTCACATCTCTCGCAGAGAAGGTCCATAGCAATGCTGATTTGTCTCTACGCAACTGGCAGCACTCGAATCTAGCTGATATTGGTGCTTCGCTGCGTGGGCTTTCCTACAGCTTGTTGACTTCATCACAAAACCCAGACTTCGAGGCCTCTTTCTCTGACCTGGAGGATTCTCTTGAGACTGTGTGCAGTGAGCTTAGTGAATTGCGAGCAGTAATCTCTTCCATGATTTCTGCACAGGAATCTGGTCAGGTTTTCAATGGATACGATAACTGCCCAGAAAGAGTCATTTCTCTTTGTTTCAACATTTCTCAGCACCTTGAGGACATCCGAGTAAAGTATCTAGGTCATCTCTCCTCCACACAAAAGGCGGAAGTAAAGACAGCTTCCTTCTTGTCTGACGAAAGTTTCCGTCAAAAAGAGTTAATTCAAGCAAATACTTGTAGCATCTCCACGCAGACCTACAATCTGCAAAAGGATGACTGCTCTTGCAAGGTGTTACTTCACACTTATTCTTTGCCCTTGGAATATGCCCAGCATGAGCCAGATAAGCAGATTATGCAAGCTACATCACATCGGTTGCTTCACACAGCAATCGGCTCTCATCAGTCCTTCGGAGCAGAGTTTACTGATCCAGGAGACTGCATATGTCAAGAAGAAACCTTGTCTGCAGCTAGATTAGCGAATATGGGTGTCGAACTTCCTCAACTTGAGCCCTCTTTGATCCAGCTTTCCAAGAAAACAAATGCCACGCCAGCTGATCCCGCCAAAACACGACCAGGACCGGGACTTACTAGCTCCGTGGCAGTCGCTTGTCCACGAACCACTGAACCGGCCAGGGTACAGGATACAGTGCGTATCCGTAAAAAGCCCAGTTGGCGGCACGGGAAGCTTACTCATCTTAGCCTTGAGGACTCCTTTCCAGTCAGCTCTGATCGACTACGAGGCGTCATGCCGCAAAGTCAGCCGGACCTTCCTGGTATCTTGATGAAGCCTATAACTTCACCACTGGTTGTTGCTGCTACAACCAGCGAGCAGACCGACCCAGACGAGATTTGGGCCCGCATTCATAGGTCCTCATCGCTATCCTTCTCATCAAGGCACAGCCGCACCCCACCTACCATGGAGCTGGAAATTGGCTCGCAAATGGAACATAATCAGCCAAAACGTCCATTCCGATTGGACCTAAATGTCACAGCCCCAGAGGACGAACTATCTGGCGCCGAAATGAGTGAAATACTTTCAGCTTCGCGAGCGGATGGCGAAGTAGGCCAAGAGATACAGACTTCCAGTCACAAGGTGAGCCAAATGGAAGCTTTTATACATAAAATCGCTTGCCA